CTCTCTCTCTCTCCCTCTCTCTCTCTCCCCCTCTCTCTCTCCTTCTCTCCAATGCGTACACACCCAGACACACAGTGGCGCACGCACCACGCACCGTCAGTTCTCAACGTGGCTATGAGAAATTCAGCGTCGTGCCCGCCCCTGCGGCTGCCCCTGCGGCTGCCCCTGCGGCTGCCCCTGCGGGCGGGCCGTGTCTGCCCTGCGGGTGCGACGGGTCCTCCGCGGGCAGATCGTGACCCCTCGCAGCGCGGTGCACGCCCCGGTGCGAACTAGAAGGGTCCGGGCGGGCGGGGGCTCGCTCTTGCTTGCTCTCCTTCTCCCTCCTCTCCTGTCTCTCTCTCGTGACCGGCCGGCGAGCCACTTTCTAAACGAGTGCTCTGCCCTATTGATGTCAATCGCGACGTGCGCGCGCGCGGGTAACGCTCGGGTAACGGGTGGGTAACGGCGGGGTAACGCGGGAGCGCCAGCGTAATGTGCCCAGGGGGAAGAAGTTCCTCCGGTAAGTCTATCAGTGCGATAGTTGTAGGCCTAACCGACTAACATATAACTGACTAACAAACAAAAAAATATTTCGATTTATTGCACCTTAAAATGTTATGGTAGGCCACTTCTTCTCTTTGAATAATTTCAAGTCGTTTCGATGTGTCTGAAGAGTTTTGTAATTTTTGTCCTATATACTCTCTTTTTCGTTTCCTGTTATGTCAATTGAATATGGCCGCCCGTATGACCGGGTGCGTCGTGTCGCCGCGGGTGGCGGTGGCTAGTAGTTCCCCCTGCCCCCCCCCCCCTCTTTTCCCTTCTCCACTCACCAAGGCAGACCTAGCGATCACGCCCCCTTCTGCCGCCTTTGGCCAGCCGAGGTGCGAGACGAGTCGGGACCGCGGCGGGGCGGCGCGCCTGGAGGGTGGCCAACCAGCGGACGTGTCGATATGCGTAGAGTGATGATTATCATTGTGCGACCGTCCAAAACACTGCAGTAAAAAGTGGGTGTGGGTTTAATGGCTTAGGGAGGGTGCGTTGCATTCATATGTGTACACGACAACAAAGTAGACTCACTAGAATAAAATAGAAAACATTTTTCTACATCGTGCTGTTCATAAACGAAAAACTGTACGTCAGATCAATAGCTATACAGAATAACACTAACTCTACCACTTCTGCCTTTATCCTAGTAGGGTAAGGTGCCCTATTGTGGCCACTGCCCATTGATGGCCACTTTTCTCGATTTCCAGCCAATCTGGTCACTTTACAATCTTGGCCTTG